TCGTCATTTATTCAAGTATAGTTTGCAGTATTTATTTAACCCTTAGATGCATAAGTGGGTCTTTTTGGACCCGGTGAGGTGGTTTTCTTGAAGTATCTTTGTAATTAAATTTTTTTATCATTTCATATTCCAGCTATTCCTCAAAAAACATGTTTTGGATATCATGCCATTCAAATTTGTAATTTACATTTTAAGAAATTGTAGTTTTTGTATTACTACCCTAAGCTTCCATAAGTGGGTCAAAATGACCCGCATGCATTTCTATGGAATCCTATGGAAAAAACTTTTTTTTTTAAATGTAAAACAAATATCTAAAATTATAAATAGTGAAAAATTAAATAGAAAATATTTCTAGTGTGAACCAAAATATGTGATTTTTCTTAACCAAAAGGACAAAAATGGCATAAAAACACATATTATTCTAATACGGGTCCTTTTTGACCCACTTATGGAAGAGTGTAGGGTCCAGTCACTCGTGCATCTAAGGGTTAAACAGTTGTGTATATGTTTACTAAATAAACACATTTTCTGAACACAAATGATGGTTTAAATGTATAAGCCTTTTTCTGAGATTTAATATAGCACTCCCAGATTTGGGTACTTGTGATAGAGATTGGAATTTGTAGTTTTTAAATCGAAGGGTGGGAGATCCTGACTCTTATTAGTTCCTATGGGTCATTTGAGACCTTTTCCACAATGCAACTCAATACCATCTTGTCCTCCTGAATGATAAGATAAGATCAGACAAGATAAGATGAGACAAGACAAGGCAAGATAATATAAGATAATATAACGAAATATAATATAAAATATGATGGACGTTATTGTCGCAGCGGTACATTTGCTTAGACATCAGTGTGTGCAGTAATAAATCACAGCAAAACAGTTAAAAAAGACAACAAATAGCCCAAATGTATTTATCAATTGCACATAGCTATCAAACTTCATCAGAAGAAGTGCACACAGTGCATGAAACAACAGTGATCAATGCCAATTTCAATGCCAAGCCAAATTCTTTCAGCCCCACACCTACTGTTTACAAGCAAATCCTCTTGCACAGAAGAAGCAATTCAACACAGCCTAAAGTTGATTAGGCTTTCTTGTGACACCTTCCTGACCACCAGTGCATGTCTTTTTTGACAGAGAACAGTTTAAAAGTATGAAGCTTTAGACATCAGCCAACTTTACAGCATGTATGGACAGAATAACTAAAGCCTCTGTTGATTTTGTAATATATATGTATATGTATAATGTACTATAGTAAACAGGAAACAGGGTGGATGAAAGTGTATCAATCTTGAAATCTAGATTTGTTGTTATTTGTTCATTTTATGTTCTAACCAAAATTATTAGGTTTTTGGGAAACTATAGCCAAACTTGGATGTGTATTTTGTAAATTGTGTAACTTATCTTTAAGTTTATGCATACTTATTAATTGTTTATATATAATTTAGAATCAGTAATATTTTTGTTTATCAATTTGACACTGCTTTAGTTTGTATAGTACAAAACTGCTCATGTTTCATATCATTATTATTATTTTGTATTATTGTTTTATAAATTTGAAATAAATCAAATCAAATATTAAGCTTTGGCTCTTTACTTGCTGTAACAATGTCAATGTCCCGTATGTGTGACGAATGAAGACCTAAGACTGATTGTGAAGACAAAGTCCTAATTTGAGGAGCACAAATATTATAATATGATATTGTATTATAAATAATTATTATAATTATATGTCTTATGCTCACAAATTGAGTTAATAAAGTTTGCAAAAGTCATTATCAAAGACTTTATCTTTGAGATTTGGAGAGGGGATATTTTTTGGGGGACAGGGAGGAGCCTGCCCGGTTAAACCTTAACCCATAGTAATATAAAGGTTGAACCAGGTTAGACAAAGGTTTAACCTGGTTAGACTAGGCCCAGGTCGCTGTGAGCACTTTGTGCCCGTCCTCCTCCTCTGTGTATCTCCGCCCTCTTTAGTTTATAAAAAAGCCGAGCAGCATCAGTCGGTTAGCTCAGCCAGACGCTGCAGCCGGAGAGAGGCAACATGGCGGAGAGAGGCAGCGAGAAGCCGCGGTCCGAACGTTCTCCAGCCCCACAGTAGAACTGTTCGGTGTTGGCCAGGTTTTACCGCTTTAAGGCGAAGGGAGACAACTTCAATAGACAAACGGCTGTGGAAAATAGTCGCGAGGGAGCTATCTGAGATGAGCCGACACGCGACAGGTAGGAGAGAAAAGTGTGCACGCGACAAAACTTCTCATCCACAGTGACTCTGAGGATAACAAGCTTATGTATTTCACTTCAAAAGTTCTAGTTCATGCCGCACCACTTTACAGAGTGCTGCTCATCAGCCAGATTTTCTTTCCAAAGGCTGTGAGGAATTTGCTGGACCTGTTCCTCCAGTGGTCATATTTCAAGGATTGTTGGAAATTCTTGCCGGGTGTGTTTTCAATAAAAATAATAATTTCCCACAAACTTTCAGGCGTCCAGGGGTCGGTGCAGGAGTGCCCCCCCTCCCCGCCGCTGCCTGCGGATCATGTGCTCCACTCTGCAGTCGTGTTGTTCCCTGGTAGCTATCACTCCTCCATACTCCCTATTTCTATTACCAGAGGTGGGAAGTAACTAAGTACATTTACTCAAGCACTGTACTTGAGTACAATTGTTGATACTTATACTTTATATATATACTTATACTTTTATGAGTATTTCAATTGTGTACTACTACTATGTACTTCTACTCCACTACAGTTCAGAGGTAAATGGTATACTTTTCCTCCACTACATGTATTTAATACCTTTTAGTTACTTCACAGATGTGGATGAATGATGTAAAATATAATCAAGACTTTAGTTCCATCATTCTAACTAGCTGCACCTTTACCAGCTTTGAGAACACTTTAATGATTATAAAGCATATCATGTATATTATTCTGAAACGGACCAATCTGCATTGTGAGTACTTTTACTTTTGGTACTTTCACTATATGTTGAGGCTAATACTGTTTTACTTTAGTAACATTTTGATGCAGGACTTTTACTTGTAACAGAGTATTCCTACGCTGGTACTTCTACTTTTACTTTATTTATTTTATTATTTACTTTACTTTATTTTCAAGATCTGAATACTTCTCCCACCTCTGTCTGTTACTGTAATGTGGTTGTGCTGCATTCATTGGCAAGTTTATCCAGGAATAGGAAATGCTTATTAAGAATTATAGAGCTTATCTCAGCCCTTTTTTATTCATTGTTTAAAAATTATGACATTACTGCACGACACATTGAAATGTTGACAGTAATCCCTGAAATGTTTTGATCATAATAGAAAGATATATTGTATTTAATAAGGTAATGGACAGAGCATGTGCTTGAATAAAAAATGTTGGAATGTTTTAATCATCCTTTTTTTTCAGCTAAACATTTTAAAGATGTTTTTTGTATCCATCCGTACAGGTGCTTTTGATCAACATGGCTGCCCTTTGATCGTGTTCCCAGTAGAGGAACAAGCCAAACTCTCCTCAGAACTCAGCAAAGCAGAAGTGGTGGACTTCATAAATCACTTTCTGGGTCTGCACAAGTAAGAGCAGTCAGGCAGGCTTATTGTGATGACTTGAATGAGAGGGAGGTGTACTAATGGTTGGATGGTTCTCTCTCAACAGTAGGAAGCAGGAGAAGGAGGGCTTGGTGTCAGTGGTGGCTGATCTGAGGCATGCATCCCTCCAAACCTCCAGGTTCATCGCTGAGACTCTGCTCCTGCTCGAGGTAAGCTCCTGGCAGAGTGGGAAGCTGCTGTGGAGGATGGCCTGCAGCAGGTTCCAATGGTTGTGCATATGATGGACATGTGGTTTCAGAACAAAACACCTCTAGATGTATGGGAAGGATTACCGATGCAAGCATGACCATTGGAAAAACTGGATAACATCCATTATGGTACGATTCAATAATACTTTATTGTCAGATCAGGTCTGACATTTTTCTTGCATCACAGCAGCTCCATTTGCAACATCGAACAAGGACAAATATTAAGACGCAATACAAGGAAAACAAACATTAAACATACTATCACAATCACTGAAGAGAAAACATGCTCAAGACGTCTAAAGTACAACAGACCTGGGATTTAGCTCTGTATTTCATTTGAGGGTTAAAAGGTGCGCAAAGTAGTGCTTTGATCTAACTTGACAATTCTGAAGTACTTTACTTGAGTATTTCAATGATTTGATACTTTGTACTTTTACACCACTACAGTTCAGAGGTAAATGATGTACTTTTACTCCACTGCATGTATTTAATCCCTTTAGTTACTTTACAGATGTGGATGAATTATGTGAAATATAATCAAGTCTTAAATCAGACTTTAGTTCCACCTGGAGTAAATTCACAAGCTCCCCTGCAGTATACANATCCCACGCTGTCAGTGTCCACTATGTCTAAGCCAGCTTCCCTTGACGTCACACAGATCTCGCGAGCAGTTGCGATATTTTGCGAGACTTCGTGAGCTCAGTAATGAGCTCACGAAGTCTCGCAAAATATCGCAACTGCTCGCGAGATCTGTGTGACGTCAAGGGAAGCTGGCTTAGACATAGTGGACACTGACAGCGTGGGATGCTGGTTGCCATATTTGGTAGTGTAGCTAAGCTAACTCCTTTGTTATGGTGATATAGCGTCTGCCGAAAGAGCAACACTTCACCCAGACAATGTCAATATGCTGTTGTTCTTGAACAAGAACACATAGACTTGTACTCTTGGATATTGAGTCTTGTATGTACATCACTATGTATGTAGTTGTGTTGTGTAGTTAGTAACACATGTAGAGTTCTAGAAAAGACATGGTGTAGACACAAGTTGGAAGGGGGCACAATAAACCTGACGAGTTTGAATTTGAGTTGATTTTGAGTTTATTTTCAATTGATAATTAGCTCACAATAAGTTCACTTTAGTTACTCACACAACTTGACACAAGTCCGGACTTATAAGTCCGGACCTGAACCTGAATGTGAGTCCAGGTACACAGCACTAATCGCAGGGGAAAAGAATATATCGCAATGTCAGTTTTTGTCAATATGGTGCAGCCCTAACGTGCACAGTCATCCACCACACATCTCTGCTGTGTGAGAGATAAGAAAATGATGATGAAGCGTATCGCGTCCCAACATCTGACGGGGCAGGATAGAATGTGACTGATAAACTCTCCTCTCATCCGCTCTCTCTTCTCTTCCTACGTCTCTCTTTTCCGGCTTTCTTTCCTCTTCATTCCAGCTCAGTTTGCAGCTTTTATGAAACAAAACATGCTTGTGAGGAAAAACCTTCCTCCTGGCACTCCTCCTTGTATCTTTGGTAAGTGTCTGTCACTCTTCCTTTCTCTTTCCTCCGTGCCTTTTTACTTCTTTCTTTGTTTCCATTGCTCCAATGTTATATGAACAGCCCTGGTTTGTCACTAATCACATGGTGGTTGTCTACTTTGGATTTGACATGAATGAAACACAGAACATAGTCATTTGTATTTATTGCTCAAAGTAGATTATTACAGACAGACAGGTGTAATATTAAAGGTCACAGATGAACAAGGTTCCTCAGCAGTCCGCTCAATGTCTGTGATGGTTTGCACGGTGCAGTGCCAGTGAGCAGCGATCAGATGGAGGGCCTGGACAGAGATGAACTGAGGCCCCATGGCAAGAGGAGGCAGGCGCCGAGTCCCACACCAAGCAAAGCCTCCAAAAGAGCCAAGATCAAAGTCACCATCGTTTCCCAAAGCGAGTCAGCAGGGGGCAGCATCAGCCCTGCTGCTCAGGAAGGTACACTGCTCTCCTGACCTTATGACAAACACATGACAATATGTACGCAGTACTTTGATATGTACTTTGCAGGATTTCTTCTTTTTACTTTGAATATACTGCTGATGGTATGATCGTACTAAACAAATACTGCTGTTCTTTTGCCTATGGGTTGATAAAATCACTTGTAGGAAACCCTGAATTGGAAAAGGTTTTAGCGGTAGGGATGCCAGTGATTATTCGATTATTCAAATATTCGTTACCGTCTCCGTAATCGAATATTATTTTTAAAAATCGATTTTATTTATATATTTTTTAATTATTATTTATGTTTTTTTTCTGGCTTTAGTTTCAACCAAAATATAGACTAATGCTAATAATAGTAATAATATTAATAATTGTAAATCGATTATTATTCGCCAGGGCTGCCGAATAATCGATTTTGATCATGGTCAGTTTCTGGCAACCCTATTTAGCGGATCACCTTCATACCGATCTAAGAAATGATTGATAAGAAAACAAACCTGTGTTTTTGTTTGGTTTACAGTATTGTTAAAGTGAGTAAGTAGGATGAAATGTATTTATGAATTCTTGCAAAAGTTTTGTACCTTAACTGTGGGGTTTCTTTGAGAGTGTGTCCTTGTCCGATGTGAGTGTCTTAGAACAGGGTGTCGTATTCATATGCTGTACGAACTGTAAAGTCTCCCGAGACAAATATGTGATATTTGGCTATATAACTCAACTTTGATTGATTGATTGACCTGACACAGGTACTCCCTAGTGCTTGTTTCATACATAATGACTACATGAAGTATCTTCTTTAATTAGTTTCAAATTAAATCAGCATGATGTTTATGTCTCCCTGCAGTTTCCGGGAAGCCCTTAACGGTGACGTTGGGACAGACTGTGGCAGGAGCCAAGGAGCTCTCTGGACTCCTCACAGGCCAGCGGTAAGCTATCCCGCTTCACACCGGCACATTCCGTATCAAACCCCCTGATCCTGCCTACACCCACGCCTACGTTCCCCTCTTTTCGACAAAAGTGTGTCTGCTGCAGAGGGATTGACGAGTGGTGTAGTCTGGGAGCTGAGTGATGGCCAAACGTCACTTTTTGGGGTAGCTCCTGAGTAGATTGGTGGTTATGTGTGTCACTGCAGGTCTGGTAGTCTCTCAGAGGTTTCTGGTGCCCTGTCGTCAGGCTCCATCTCTTTCAACAGCGTGCAGCCGTGCATGGTATCAGGCTCCTTCACACCAGTCCAGGTGCAAGCTCCGGCTACTGCCCAAGGTATCTGTGTCCTGTCCTGCCCTGCACGCTTGTTAACACTCAACTGTGCGGCTAATCAGCACAGTGACCTCTACACACTTCTAACCGCTTTGTAGAGGGAGAATAAACACTGGATAAGAACAGTGTGTGAGGACAACATATTTGATCAACTTCATCATTGATTACCTCTTGCGCCATCGCTGTCTGTCAATGTCCCCAGCCTTACCCTTTGGACATGACTTTTCATACTGTGTGTGTGTGTGTGTATGTGTGTGTTCATCTAGTCTGTGGGGGGATTGGATGGGAGCTGTTTGTCAATATTCCTCCCAAACGTCAGCTCCATTGATTTACTGTCTCTGTGTTTGTGTGCAGGGTCTTCCGCCAGCAGTCTGCTTCAAGGCCTAAGTTACAGTCTTCAGGAGATCGTCACCAAAACGCCTAGCTTTCCCTCCACAGATGCCAGTACCGGCAGCACACAGGTAACTATGGTTACATGTTTATTACAAACACGTTGGAATGACCAAAAAGGACCTTTTGCTTCATTTAAAGTTCAGTCACTAAGAATGATCTATACTCTACTGGAGCCATTTTCCAAAAATATAAAGGTTAGCTTTGGTTTTCTTCAACCTGCACCTAATGTGTCAACATTGTTGTTTACAAGTGACTAATAGGCACACGTTTTAGCGCATTGTAGACAAACAAAAACACATGAGAAATTCTCTGGGTAGATCAAATGGCTGGCATAATTAATATCAAAAAGGTTATTTGTTAAAAGAAATTCTATCTGGATGAGTTTAACTACCCTCACTGACAGAATTGTAGCATGGGAGCTACCATCCATAGCAATTAAAGTCGAAACAAACAGACCTGACATTTCAGTTTTGAATGTAAATTGTACAATTCATTTCATTTTTTCATTTCAATCTTTATTTCGAACAGATTAAAAAAATAAAAATAAATAAATAACAAATGTGAAAAACAGAATACCGTATTGTTAAAATAAAGTATTTATCCACATTCATGATAATATTTATATATTCAACAACAAGTCTTCATATTAATAATAATAATAATACATCACATGTGTCCGAAAGGGGGCAGGAGGAAGCAAATACATATTAATTCCCACCCCTTACTTGATCAATGATTGTCCTTTAAATCATTATGCAAGTTATTCCTACTTACATTTACTTACATTTACATTTATACAAACATATACAATAATTTCTCATCTTCAATCCCCTCTCTTCTTTCTCATAGTTTTCCCAAAAAGTGTTTCTGTACATATTTTTAAAGTGAATTATGCTTGTGCTTTGTTTTAACTCCTGCTCCAAACCATTCCATAAATACATACAATCAACATGAAAATGAAAAAACTGTGGCAAAAGTTAACTAATAAGACTAAATCATGAAGTTTATTCTCAGTGTTTGAAATATAACAAGCAGGGTAGGATTTTCACGGCGGCCATGATTTGTTTTCCATGTCTTTCGTGTGTTTTTCTTATCAAAAAGTGAAGTTATTTATTTTTAAGCTCCAAATTCAAACGTTTCCCTTAATGGCCTTTGTGCCCTGAAAAAATGTGTGACACCAAAGGCCAAATGGCCTTGCCCCTAAAATGACGAAATTCCAAGCCTGATAACAAGACCTTAAACTGTTGGCCCTCTTCTCCCCCCCCTCAGGCGGTCTGTGGTCGGCCCCAGGCTCAGGTCTTGAGCTCGGCCGGTCCCAGCAGCAGCGCTCTGCTTCGGGCGGTGCCTGCGGTCGCCTCAGGAGGAGCGACTAAAACCACCGCCATCCACCAGCTGCTCACTAACGGCGGGTTGGCCAAAATAGCCAGCAGCTTGCCCGGCTTGGCGCACGTCACCAATCAGACCACTGGTATGTCTAGAACTGCCAAAACACCACGGCCACGTTGAATGCTCAGAGTTCAATCCCACTTTGTTTTGGAAACACTAGTTCAGGACGTCTGTAGGCCACAGAGAGCCTCAGTACTCGACCTTAGAGGACGGCTCTGTCACCGTGTGTGTAGATGAATGCCTGGAAGAACCTGACCGTTGTGATGTGTGCAGATATGCAGCATCGGAGGGCAGATCAGTGCCGCATGATTTATTTTCATGTTCAGAAAGAGCCATTACGGAAATGTGAGGTAGAGTTTGAAGCCTATGTTTGACGCATAATGTTTACGTAGAAGTGGATGCATGTGTAAAATAAATATTAATGAATAAATCCATTTGATACTGAAGAATTGTGAAGTAAGTTAAAACCAGTGTGGGTATGATTGACCAACTTTAAAATGATACCCAAAAGTAAAATCCAGATCGCTTCGTTTGTCCCATTTGAGCTGCATTTCATGTTTTTGTTATCCATGTTGTAACATTTTGTAACCCTTCCATCAAATCACCTGCTTATAATATCCATATGTATGCATGCTGTCCTCTAACAGAGAAAGGCAGACACACATTACACATGGCATCACCCGAGCTCTGTTCATGTTGTTACAATAAAGACTGGAATCAAAATCATGTTTTCATTGCTCCTTTTTCTTTCAGTGTCACCTATTTTCCAAACTCCTAAATGTGCTTTTACCTCTCATTACGTTCATTGTCCAAACCTGCTTTTGATTTGCTTACCTGACCACGAAGCAAAAAGGTCACTCTGATGACTTCCATCACAACTTTTTGACAATGAAATGGCTCTGCTCCATTTTTACTGAGTGTGTTTGGGGGGGGGTACGGTAGTGCTGAGCAGTTTTCTTTGTGTGTGTCATTAGGGCAGAAAGCCCCCACCTCGATAACGGTGACCCTGAGAGGAGCCCAGTCAAGTAGAGTGGGATCTCTCAGCCAAGACTACGAGGCTGTGACGCCGATTCGCACCCTTGAGCCAAAGGTGTGTCTACTTTAAACATCTAACGGCTACCGATAAGGCCACAACTCACTTCAAACTCTTGATGTGATAAGTGTGGCTTTCTGCTTGTTGATCATGCAATATCAGCTTTTAGTGCTTTTCACAGTGCCCACATTGTTTTCAGTCAAACTCAAGGTAATTTGTCTTTTGGAAAGCTTGTGAACATCTTAACTGCTATGGCAACCACAATGCCATTAACCTTTGTGTTGTCCTCCTCCCGGTTTGACAGTTAATACAAATATACACAACAAAAATATAAACGCAACACTTTTGTTTTTGCTCCCATTTTTCATGAGATGAACTCAAAGATCTAAAACATTTTCTACATACACAAAATAACCATTTCTCTCAAATATTGTTCACAAATCTGAAAAAATCTGTGATAGTGAGCACTTCTCCTTTGCCGAGATAATCCATCCCACCTCACAGGTGTGGCATATCAAGATGCTGATTAGACAGCATGATTATTGCACAGGTGTGCCTTAGGCTGGCCACAATAAAAGACCACTCTGAAACGTGCAGTTTTGCTTTATTGGGGGGGTCTGGGGGGGGTCCGAAAACCCTAGGGTTAAACCCTAACCCTAACATGCCACCCATCTCCTTCGCATAGAGTTGATCAGGTTGTTGATTGTGGCCTGTGGAATGTTGGTCCACTCCTCTTCAATGGCTGTGCGGAGTTGCTGGATATTGCTGCCAAGTTGCTGGATATTGGCAGGAACTGGAACACGCTGTCGTATACGCCGATCCAGAGCATCCCAAACATGCTCAATGGGTGACATGTTAGGGTTCAATTCCCTAAACTCAATTTGGATTCCCTAAACTCAATTCCCACGTATTACCACCAGTTTGACTGTCCTTTTTGGAATCAATAGACCTCATTTACACAAACATCTTTTACGACATTGACACCAGAAAAACCTGGATACTATACATTTCAATAAAACACCCGTAATTCAATGAAAGCGTGATCAGTGTTTCTTCTAGCTAAGAACATGGAACAATCTATGATATTTTTAATAACCCCTTTTATTTATTTTTTGTGAAGGCTATTAAATAATGAATATTTATTAACGTTCTTGATGGTTAACCTTTACCCAATTAAGCGTGGTATTTTCTGGCGTACATTTATTTATTTATTTTTAAACAAAAAATAGTTAATGCACATACTGAGATTTGTAAGTCTTGACAAAGGTACACTCCTTATTCCCTATTGTTTGACATGATTAAACCCTAAAGGTCCAAGTGTGGAAAACTGGTTTGACTTGTGTGTTCAAAAAGTCCAATTTTAGAGGCATACGTATTTTCATGGATATTTATTTTCCATATTTTGATGTTTTAATCCTAGAAAGCTATATCAAATGCTGCCATAAGTGCAGAGTGAAAAAGACTTTATCCTAATCCATCTAAGGCTGTGTACAAGAAGGAAAACATCCTCACATTATTACTGAAGAGCTGTATGCACTCTAAAGTCTTTGTGCCAAAGAAGTAAATGTCAAACAGTCTTTTGTCTCTAAGACTTTAATTAAAATAGGCTTATTGTTATATTTTCCGCAGTGTGAGTTAATGAATTCCACTGTGCCCTTCTCACAGCAGTGAAGGGTTTCCATGTGGCGTTACACCTGAGCTAAGCTGGGGCTCTTCCTGCTGATGAGACTGTTCCCTCCCTGCGATGATGAACACGCCAACCTGCAACTCTCACACCACCTGGCCGTCCTCCAGAGACTCCCTGCGGAGAGGGAGAAGGCCATGCAGTCGCTGTTGCTGAATGCTGCGTTGCTTAACCTCTATGTACAGCAGAGGAGCGCTGACTCTGCGTCTCCGTGCTTCAGTCTGGGCTCTCTTCTTACACACCTCTGACAGCCAGGAGGAAAACCTGATCTCATGTCATCCTCAAGGGAGGAAACTTTATCAAACTGCAAAGTACCTGGACTTGGACAGTCTTGCTGCTGACTTTACACCTACACCTTGATCAGAAAAACGTTAGCTTTGCTTTATAAGTGTATATTAATGGAACAATTCACCCCCAAAAGGATCTTTTGTAAATACATTGCTCCGCCCCTTTTACATTGAATTCTTAATGAGGACCTACTATGCTTTTGAGAGTTTTTATATTTCCTGTGTTATATAGGTTTAAGAAAAGCAGATATTTGTCTTTGAATTGAATTCATAGTAACCTATGGTGAGTAATTGCTAAACAGTTAGTAATTGTGTAGGTGGAGTATCCCTTTAGCCCTAGAGAAGTATGGTTAATAGGAAGGTCAGCTTGAACATTTCTGAATATCTCTCTAAAGTCGGAGGTTCCATATTGTTTATCACAGTTATTACATCATTACACGATTACAGCGGTTCATCATAACAAGAGCTTGTTTGTGCAGCGGTTTTCCTTCACCGTGACAAACAACTTCCCCTTATGATGACCTCAAATAGGGAAACATGTACTTTAACTCAAATAAATGTCAGTATTTGTCACAATCATGTGAATGCAGAGGGTACAACACATGCATTGAGGCCTGGAATTAAAGTTGTAGTAAAAAGCTGCATTACAGGAAAGGTTGTGTCTGTCCATGTTTATGATAAACACAACATTTACCATCTGCAAAGTATCATCACTGAATATGGACTCTTAGTTTGAAACAGCAACAGTCAAAAAAATAGATTTGTCTCAAAAACACTCGACTAAGTTCCCTGTTTGCTAATCTAAATATTTGGTCCTCTGTGTTCAACACTTGTATTGAGCTATTAGCAGGCTGAAGAACTCCTCTTATTCCAAATATAATGCTCTCACGCATGATAGTTATACTGCCTTGTTTACAGAAACAGCGTAAATACAGCCCACTCATCGGCGCTGACATCCTGTCTTAGATTCCACAGAAAAGCTCTCTGATAAGACAAGTTATATAAGCCAGCTTTGTGTGTATAGGCTGGGATGGGAAAACTGATGCCAGTCAGAGAACAACGGAGCTGCTGGCAGAGCCTCATCATCCTCATCTTCATAATAATCATCTGCAGCAGTGGAAATGCACACAATCAATCTGAAGTCTCTTCACCACAATCCTGTTATTTTCGACAGGAAGGAGTTCAGAATATGAATACAAATCTGAAATCCTTTTATTTCTCGCACAGCAGGACATTTACATTGTTACAGCTAGGGAACTGTGAAGACAAAATAAAAGAGTAGACATTTTTAAAGGGACAAGCACACTTTGATAAACTGAGAAACAAATAAGTACACCTTCGAGGTGGAAAAGATAAGTATGAATACGCTGAACAAATAAAGTGAAGAAATGCACTATGGTGCACTAGATTGAGAAAAAGCTGTCCATAGGAACCTGAGGATTCTCTCCCACACGAGCTCCTCATCTAATTATTGAAACAAACAATGTATTTTTCATCATGGTTTTTTACCTGCATTGTATAGCCTTTTCCCTTTGGACCAACAGTCTCTTTGTGTAAATCATTTGGGGCGGCAGTAGCTCACCAGTTTGAGTCCCAGCACTGAACAAAAACACGATGTGTGGACTTCTGGAGAGGGGCCAGTTTACCTTTTGGGCAACTCTCTTTAAACATCTATGCTGTGTACTGCTAAAGTGTCCTTGAGCGAGGCACTGAACCCCTAACTGCCCCGCTGGCGTAGAAACATGGCAGCCCCTTTGCTCTGACAGATTTCCATACAAATGCATGTGTTTTTGCATTTGTGTGTTTCAGGCCTAATGTGTATAGGTCGTGTTTGTTTTGATTTGTAATGTATATAAAGATTGCAAAGCTACTGCCTCCCATGGTGGGATTCTATCCTGTTCTGTGAACATCTATTCCACATTTGGTGGCCTCCTAATCATTATTTCCAGAGATACATGTGATTAGGCTGACACGGCCCCCTTCAGAGGAGCCTACATTTTCAGTATTTTCGGTTATGGGAAGGTTCCAAACATCAACCTAAACAATTAATTTACAGTAATATATTGCTATAAAACAAATCTATTTTTTTTTTTAACATTTATATTTTATTAAACATTTTCAAAAGACAAAAACACACGGACAAGGACATGGCTCACACACATCACAAGTGTGTGTGGGACAGGACATAACATGAAGGGTGGGGGGTAGGGGGATTACAGTGTCTGTTACATTTGATGTATGCATATGGTGTTGTATTTATACATGATTTGCTTCATAATATAGGTATTTCATTGTTTAATAGGTAAATAAATAGATAAATAGCCAAATAAATAAATACATATATATATGCACACATATGTACATATATACACAAACACATCTCTTCCTAATTCACCTATTCATCCATTTCCCATTTAATTTCACTTCTTTCATTATTATTACCGATATTTTTCTGTTTCTTCATTTCTCTTTATTTATATTTATTTATTAATATATATTATTATATTTATTGTTGGCAGCCGAGATGGTTTGAGTCCAGGAAAGCCCTTATCTTATCCCAAAGCCTGTTGTCTGGCTTAACCAAATATAACAGGGAGAAAGCAGCTTCTTCCATACTTAAGATGTTTAGGAAGTCCTCCAGCCATCTATTTAAATTGAAGCAGTTGGGCTTTCTGACTTTCCAGTTCATAAGAACGAGGCGTTTAGTTGTAAGGCATGCTAGGAAAAAAACAAACAATCTATTTAATAAACTAGACATATTAAAGTAAGGAAAAAACATGGTTGTGCTTTGTCCTACCTCGGGTAATGGTATCTTAAAAAACTAAAGCTTAGTTTAGGGGGTTTGTTTCTCTACTATTAATAATCTTCTTCGGTATGTTCTTTAAGTCGCCATCAGGTGGTGCTCTAATCACTACAATGTCCTCCTGACTAATTATTTGATAGCCTGTGCTTGTGAAGCCTCAAATGTCAGGCTCAGTCTGTTTGTTTGTTTGTTGTTTGTTTGTGTTGATGTGCTCGCGTGCTATAGCACGAGTGGGCGCTTGCAGTCCATGCGCACGTGCGTAATTAGTGCGCGTTCCTGCTAGGCTGTGTGTGAGCTCTCCTGTGTTAAAAGAGAAAGCCAAACAGGGACTTTCAACTTTGATTAAACTGTACAAAGATAGGAAAATAATCTCAAACCAGGTCATGTAAGTACAGTTTCATTTTAACTTTTATATTAAAGACAAAAATGAAAGCCACAGGGCCATTTTTGTTTCAACCCCAGCTAAATATGATGATATATTAACTTTGGTAGGTTTTAATATTAAATTAAGGTCCATAAACCGAAGATTAAAGAGGCAGCAGAGGGGGGACTATGGCCACATTATTCATACTTCACAAAGAGATAACCAAATGAGTTCCTCAAATGCTCTTCAATGACCCCTGATGGACCGACCAGGGAGCGATAAAGCAGCCCAGGGGCATCGGCCTGTAATGGGGCTGTTCACCGCCCTGCTGCCAGATCATCAAAGTTTCTCCGGCAGCTCTGCTGGAGGAGAGAAATCTCTGCCTGCCCCCAGAGCCAAGAAGACACTCAAGAGAGGCTGGATTTAAAACCCGCCCTCCGGAGGGATCTCGTTTCCCCCAAAAACCTCCCATTTTCTCTCTCACTCACTCTTCTGTCTCTCTCTCTCTTCCCCTCTGTCCCTCTCTCTTCATTTACCTTTATCCCTCGCCTTTCGCCGTTTCCCCCACCACAATAATGGATCTCACGGCGAGATGTTTGTGTTTCCTCTCCTGTCTCGGCGTGATATTGGCGATCGATTTGGACGCGATTGCTCCGCGCTACTATGTGGAGTCCAGTGCCACATCAGAGGTGATCGACTATAAGGATCCCTGCAAAGCTGGTGAGGTTTTCTCCTTTTTTCCCTGTAGTAGCAACGCTGTGTGCTTCACCTTTTATGTGGAGGTAGAAACATGCCACGAATCTGTTTTGTGTGGCTTTGCACAGATCGGCCACACAAACGCTTTTATCAAGAGATGACAGTAGTGGATGTAGTTTTGAAGAAGGCTTCAGAGAACATTATGTGCGTTTGTTTTGTACTGAGAAGCGGAGTTTTTGCAGTTTGAAACATTTGAAGCACACACTGAGTCGCCTCGGATAACCCAGCTCCGAGAGCGGCTGCAAGGCTGGCAAGAGTGAAAATAAAAGCATGACAATACCTACCTCCAGAAAAGTTTTGTTCTTACTGAAAAAGTTACAGCCTGCTTTTTTGCGGCAAATGCACTTTTATTTTTTTAATGTGATCATCTGGTTCCTGCTGGCGGTCTGCCGGTTTTTTTTTTACTTAGAAAACCATCGCTGTTAGTCAAACGAAGCATTTTTGCACTTTGATTTTTTTAACTTTTTGTGCTCCCTTTCTGGTTGTTTTTTGTCATTGCAGAAATACTGTTTAGTTTTTTTTCACCGGCTTTTCACACGGCCACTAAAACAAAGTGGAGGAGGGGAAAGTACAGTGGAGCTTATGCACATAATTCAGTTGTCTGTTGTCTTATGGCCAACTATGTAAATATGTCTGCTTCTTTTCTGCTGTGGTGAGACATGCATATTTTTGTTCATAATTTGGCAAATGCATATCTGACTTGTCATTGTAATCTTCCTGTGTGTGTGTGTGTGTGTGTGTGTGTGTGTGTGTGTGTGTGTGTGTGTGTGTGTGTGTGTGTGTGTGTGTGTGTGTGTGTGTGTGTGTGTGTGTGTGTGTGTGTGTGTGTGTGTGTGTGTGTGTGTGTGAACTCACTGTCTTGCCAAATCCCTTTGGGGGAGTTTGAACAGATTGTGTTTTCCATCTGGTGAAAGTATTCAGGTTACAGATACAGAGAGTTGGCTTCACGCAAAATGACCTCTAAAGTGCTTGAAGTGCTTACCGATTTGGCATTTGTCAATTTCTGATGTGGCAGTCGATTATGAAACACAATAGAGTCCTCCAGCTTTACCCGTCTATCTTTCTTCTTCTTCTTCTTCTTCTTCTTCTTCTTCTTCTTCTTCTTCTTCTTCTTCTTTCCCCCTGAGAGGAGGAGTACATGTCGAGGGAGATGTAAAGATTGTGCTCCAGGAGCTTTGTGGCTTCACATAAACATGACAAAGGTCAGGCTGCAGAAGAACTGTGTACAAGTCAGTGAAGATGTTGCTTCCTGTTGTTGCTTCACTGTTCAAGTGGTCATAGCAGATAGTTTTGCATCACTAGTATGGGTTATAACTCATTGATGCAGAAGACTTCAGACTGAAGGGTCAACAAACCAAAGGCCAATGATCTTGCTTATATTTTAAGAGTATTTTCGTTGCGTTTCCAGGAAATTGTTACGATTTATCAAAAATGTCTCATCGGGGTCATACTCACTTCACAATCCTCAAGCAGTACTGTTGTTTGTCTTGTTTGTGAGAATGTTATCATTATTAGTAATCCTGTTTTCAGTGTAATTTGGATGGAGTGCCGTTGTGTTTATGGTTTCCTCTGGGCTCGGCTGCAAACAGGTGGTTGGGGAGACGGTCACAAGTACAAACTCCCACTCTCTTAACCCTCGCTGTCTCCAGCTCGTCCAACACACACCTGCTTTCTCCTTCTACCTACTTCACAGCAACATGTCTCCCCTTTATTCCTCATTCGGTTGAAACACCAGAGATTTTTCACTGTCGTCAACTCCATACTGGTGGATCAGGATTCTTGGATTATCGATTTCCTCTCTTTTACCCACATTTTTCACCCAATCACTGCACTTTTTGAGTCTCTTTGATCGCCCTCTGTGGGCTCAGGGTCAGCATTTTTATGTCATGCCGCTTCCGCCCAGGAAAGTGCTTACAGCCGTGTGAAGTTTCAATTGCATTAATGCTCAAATCTGAGTGCATCTCTTGTTTGTATGGCTGTCCTTATGTTACACTGCAGGATTTTAGAACTATTTGTTAACAAGACTTCACATTGTTGTCATATACAGATAATCTGTAATGGTTTGGTCAGTTATATCATTGACTAAATGGTGGCAATTTCTGTTAATGTCTCTGATTGTTTCAAATGCAATTCTTAATTTCTTGCCAGATGTGTGCCACACATGTTCAGTTAAGCAACACAAACCCCCTGATAAATGTTTCAAATTCACAAAGGATTAAAATGTCCTCACCGAATCAGACATGGTTGAAATGTGCATTGATTGAAGCAAGCAGTGCAATAACACTGAAGTAATGCAATCTATTTAGGAAGTTAACCAGTGGAAAATTCCTTAGTTTGCAGAACTCCAAACTTGGCAGCTTTCCAGGAAGTCATTTAAGACTAACCACCCTGTGAGATTAGATCCACTCATTTTCTAAATGAAAAATGGATGGGAAGCAGTCACGCTCATTGTCTACTCTGCTTAAATGATAATCATGAAAGCAGTGACTAGTTCCACATGAATGTATGCATTCATTTATGAAGCAAACATCTTAATCTACTAATGAGTGCTGTTTAAGCCCATGCTTTTTGCATTGAGCTGCTGCGGCCTCAGCTACAGACAAACCTGAACGCCCCCTCTCCTCCGGTCGCTCTTACGCAAGTGGCTTTCTGGTCTACCTGGCACCCGGCTCTGTCCTGTGACTGGCTAAAACACTTCACTGACTGTGGGTCATTCAGCCAGTGCCAAGGGAAAGCCTGTCTAGAAGTTGGAGGGCAGGCCAGCCACACTTTGCCACAGCAGCACAGGTGAGGAGAGTGCATGCCTTGGTTATCCAACGCCTCTGAAGAATGTGTCAACAGAGACTTGTGTTTTTACTCTCGCCCCGTGATGTCAGGCGTTGACTGTGATTTGGCCATTTGAAATATGGCTGCTGGACTTCTTTTGACAATGTTTCAGAGGTTTTAC